ATTTGCTTTAGGAAGTGGGGTCAAAATGTGTCTGGTCCAAGGGTAACTCGTGTTGCGCACGAGACGTTGATGCGACGTGGCGGTACACACACAGTGAAGCTACAGAAATAAATATTTGCGGTTGGGCCCTAAACCAATGAGGAAGTACTGGGGAAGCGTGTCCTCGTAAAATATATACACGCACGCGCGCACACACGCACCCCCCCCCACACCCCGACCAACCCTGACCTACCCTCTCGCTCGCTCACTCACTTCTACAGATCCTCATGGCTGTGTGGACGGTGCTCTGGGGTCGTAGCCCCAAGGGCCGGCCGAGGCAGAAATAAATGAGCAGTTTTTCACCTGATTTTGCTGTTCACCTGGCCACTGGCCACTTTAGTTCACCTAAACCACTAGTACGCTGCGCGTACTAGTGGCTTTACAGGAATGTAATTACTGTACTATCCAATGTATTCTCATAAACCCAATGTACCTTGTATATATATAAATAAATAAAAATAAATAATAAATAACTGGGAATTAGACAGCTGTTGCGGGCTGCATCCTGGGGATATGTGCGCGTGAGAGAAATATGTAGTTATAACACAAATAGGTAGATAGTACATTAGACGACCGACGGTTAGAAAAGCGGGATCAAAGAGCTAATAGCTCGATCTTGCAGGCAGTAAATACGCATACAAAAGGCAGATATGCATAAATGTGTACCACGTACGTATGTACACAAATACTCATACATACACAAATAGTCATCAGCAGTAGTGTATGCAATTATAGCGAAAATATAATATATATATACCTAAGCAAGGGTAAATCTAGAAGAATATACTGCACCGGCGTAGAGTGCAGTATATCGCTCTCATCTTGGGAAATACTGTACAAAGAAAAAAAATGTATGTCGAAAGTACAGAGATTTGCCAAGAGACTAGTGCCCGAGATAAGATAGCCGAGCTGCGGTGGTTGCTCGACTTAAACTCACAAGTCAAGCCTGGTCTCGGGCCGGGCTTTACGGGGGGTAGAACTACTCTCAGAAACCCATCAGGCAGGTATCGAGGACACGCTGAGAGAACTGGTCCTAACGACGCTGGAAGAGAGATGAACCAGGCAGGGGTCATATGATACAAGAATACAAGGGATTAAGTGGGAATTTGAAAATGGCTTGGGAGTGACTTCCAGATGAGAGACAACAAAACCAAGGGGCGCACGGGGAAGTCAAACACGTTCACAAATCCAGAGAGAGAGAGAGAGAGAGAGAGAGAGAGAGAGAGAGTGTGAGAGAGAGAGTGTGAGAGAGAGAGTGTGTGAGAGAGAGTGTGAGAGAGAGAGTGTGAGAGAGTGAGTGTGAGAGAGTGAGTGTGAGAGAGTGAGTGTGAGAGAGTGAGTGTGAGAGAGTGAGTGTGAGAGAGTGAGTGTGAGAGAGTGAGTGTGAGAGAGTGAGTGTGAGAGAGTGAGTGTGAGAGAGTGAGTGTGAGAGAGTGAGTGTGAGAGAGTGAGTGTGAGAGAGTGAGTGTGAGAGAGTGAGAGTGAGAGTGTGAGAGTGAGAGTGTGAGAGTGTGTGTGTGTGTGTGTGTGTGTGTGTGTGTGTGTGTGTGTGTGTGTGTGTGTGTGTGTGTGTGTGTGTGTGTGTGTGTGTGTGTGTGTGTGTGTGTGAGAGAGTAAACTACTCGAATGTCGTGAAAGTTGTAAACGTGTGTAATCCAAATAGACTCCGCCATCACCTGTGGTTCAGAGACCTCAGAAAAGTGTCGTCATCGCTACGCTTTTTAAACAAATGTAACCTCTCCTTTACCTCCTTTACTGTCATATCCTAATTAACCCGAACCTAATCTAACGAAAACAAAAAATTAAAATTAGGTAACTGATTTTTTTATATAAATTGTGTACACGATGTGTGACTTAGAGCTGGGGAGGCCTGATACCTGCTTGATGGGGTTCTGGAAGTTGTTCTACTCCCCAAGCCCGGCCCGAGGCCAGGGTCGACTTGTGAGAGCTTGGTCCAACAGGCTGTTGCTTGGAGCAACAGTCTGGTTGATAGCTTGACGGAGCGGCCTGCTCGAGGACCGGGCCTCTGGGACGCTGAGCCCCGAAATCATCGCAAGGTTAACCATCATCGCAATTCAGGTCTCTCGGTTCGTAGACATAAGTAAGATTCTTAGCCAGGATATCTTAAGGCAGAGGCGTAAGATATCCTGGCTTTTATTGGAAATCTTTTGTGTGTCTTGTTCTTCTTCTTGAGGTCTTTTTGCGTGTAATTTATTTCCCTGCCGAAAAAAGAAAGAAATGAATGAAATTATCATCAGTCTGATTGAAACTATGACTCGAGAACCTGCTTGGTTAATTTTCACCTCGTAATGCGAGGTGAACTTTTGTTACTTTTAAAAGTAACTTTTAGTGGCTTTTAAAGTAACCCTTAATTGGAAACTGTTGCAGATGTTTTGGTGACGATCATTTTGTATTTTTTTAATAATAAATACCACTAATGTTCCTTTTAGTCATGTATTCCTTGGTAGAATAATTCCTTGTAAGGGATATGTATTCTTTGTAAGGGATATGAGAATAAGGATCTGTGATACACAGCCCCGCTCCTGTGCCAGGTAAGTCCACTACGGGCTCACCATAGCTCGTGCTACTTGGAACTTTTGTTTTGAGTAGCTGAATCTAAAAACAACAACAATCTGTGATAGGATATGTGGAGAGGAGGAGGAGGAATGAGGCCCAACCGCTTTGACCGTCAGGGATGGAGATTATAGAAGCAGCTAGGCCGTTCATTGCTCTTGTGCTGGTGCCAGTCTTCCTGGTTTGCCAGCGGCTTTTGATCAACTTTTTTTTTTGTATGCATTTTTTGTTCGGCGTTTGTGTAGTATGGATTCATAAATTTAGTGTTATTGTTGGTGTTATGTTAGTGTGTGTGGGTGCGGGCGGTGGTAGGGGGTTTAATATTTCCACCACAGGTGTGAGCGCACGCGGCAAAGACAGTTTGAGTGTAGTAGGTGACGTGTTTACTAGTTGGCAACCCCGTGCTGTGCCACGCTGTCGCCCCCCCCCTTGCCTCCCTTCCCCCTCCCCTTCTCCCTCCCATTAAACCCCTCCCTTCCCTCCTCCCCTTCCCCCCTCCCCTTCAACAACCCCCTCCCCGCCACCACGCTCGCTGTACAACAAAACTAAATCTTATTTTAAATCAATGTTTAAATCTTGGATGATAAGAGGAATAACAATATGCCGATAAAACAGCCATTGATGTAATGCAGTTATATTCTTCTCAAGGATTGTCACTATTTTATTGGGTTGGTGATGTCACGTGGCAAGGGACAAGCTTTCCTGATGTGCTCAGCTAGTTGTGCTTGCGGGGCGTTGAGCTCTAGCTCTTTGGTCCCGCCTCTCAACTGTCAGTCTAACTGGTGTACAGATTCCTGAGCCTTACTGGGTTCTATCATATCTACATTTAAAACTGTGTATGGAGCCTGCCTCCACCACATTACTGCTTAATGCATTGGGCATAGTGTACTGTACATAGTAGTAGTAGGCATCCATCAGTCTTAGGAGACTATGGTGTTGGTCTGGAGTGGCCTCTCCAGGGCGCAAAGCCAGGGTAGGTTGATACGGAGAAGCTGTGACCCAGGCAGCAGGTCCCCCCTACCCCCTCTCCACGGCGCCGAAACTGTTACTGTACATACTATAACAGTTATAGTATGTGATTGTTAAACAGTCGAGGTCAAGTCTGAGAGGAAAATACCTGACTATTATGATTGCAGAACCATTCCGCCTCTCCCTCGCCCCTTCAATAAGCCATCAGGCTTGCTGTTCACACCTTTTACCATCAATATACCATTCTTGCAGAAATCAGATATTTGTATATATTCGTTCGTTGTCTGTGATGAGTCGGGCCTAGATTCTTGGGCCTAAGGTTCTTGGAAATTGAGAAATCTCAGACAGGTGTACTAGACCTATGTTGACAAATGGAAAGAAAGCTATTTGCTGAGCTTGAGAAGAAACACTGCTCTCAGACTCCACCTCAGTGTGCCCAACCACTTGGGCTGGACGGTATAGCGACGGTCGTCCTTCATGTAGGTCGGTGTTCAATCCCCGACCGTCCAAGTGGTTGGGCACCATTCCTTTACCCCCGTCCCATCCTAAATCCTTATTCTGATCCATTCCAAATGATATATATATATATATATATATATATATATATATATATATATATATATATATATATATATATATATATATATATATATATATATATATATATATATATATATATATACATACATACACACACACACACACACACACACACACACACACACACACTAATAAAATAGATTAATTAGATTAATAATAAATTATTAATATTAGATTAATTAGATTAATAATAAATAGATTAATAATTAAATAAAATAATTAAATAGAGTGGTAGACGGTTGGAACAAGTTAAGTGAGAAGGTGGTGGAGGCCAAGACCGTCAGTAGTTTCAAAGCGTTATATGACAAAGAGTGCTGGGAAGACGGGACACCACGAGCGTAGCTCTCATCCTGTAACTACACTTAGGTAATTACACTTAGGTAATTACACACACACACACACACACACACACATACACATATACACATACATACATACATACATACATACATACATACATACATACATACATACATACATACATACATACATACATACATAAATATATAATATTGGGAAAAACAATGTAGAGGATTATGCAACTGCGCGCGCAAGTGTGTTGTCGTGGGACACATTGCTCTCTTTAGTATACACACCGTGATACCCCCCCTCCTCTCTCTCTCTCTCGCTTTCTCTCTCTCTCTCTGTCTCTCTGTCGTTCTTTGTCTCCCGCCCACCGCCACAAAAAAATAGTGTGGCTCATCTAAGATAGAGGCAGAGAGCCTGGGCCGTAGAGAGAAAGAGAGAGAGAGAGAAAGGCAGACAGGTAAGCAACAGAGGGGGCTGCTACCAGGAGGGAGCCTTCAGCTGTGCACCACAACCCATCCCTTACCCCCCAGTCTGCCACGCGCGTATGTTGGGTGAGGAGAGGCAGTGTGTGTGTGTAGTGTTGCCGCGCAGACTGCTGATGCTGGCATATAACCCTTCTCGAGGAAGACACCTTACCTCACCACTCTACAGGAGGAGAGGATAGAGCCGCGTGGGATACTCCTTTTACGCCTTAGGTTTGATCCCCTTCAATGTCAAAGCCAGCAGTCTGGTAATGCCGGGTCGACTAGGCATATTGTGGCTCCGTCGAACTGCCTGTGAACTTGGACTATCAACATGACAGGGGAAAAAAAAAAGACAAGTTACTTATATAATTGTCCTACAGGCCTGTGAATTGCCTAGGTGACGCGAGAATCTCTTTTATCTGCCATGACAATAGCGGCATGTCAGGGGAGGAGAGGGAGACAGACACACACTTGTTGTTGTGATCCTGGCAGAAGGAGTAATCATGTATCAGTGTTTTGGTTGTATTCAACCTTGTGAGGGAGACTGGACGACTCGCTTACTGTCTGGTGTGGTGGCATACATTAAGATCCACATACACAAACACACTACACACACCCACACACACACTCACACCCACCCAGTGTAATGTATGTATGTATGTATGTATGTATGTATGTATGTATGTATGCATGCGTGGGGTCCTGGTCACTAAGCTTGTTACCAATCATACATGCCTACAAGCATGTTTGGAGAACTGCCGTTTTCATAATGTTTTAGTCAGTCAACTCAAATTCTGAACATTGGGCATTTAAACCACCTGTGTCTGGTGACGTGAGAGGGTCGTGTGCGCCACTTAAGAAACGATTCTTAAAGATTAATTTAACCATTTTAGTAAATCATTGAAGCAGAGTGTAAATCTTAAGTCACCGTAAAATCTTTTAATTGAAGCGTGAAAATCTTGAGGATTTTGTTTTTCTGAATAAAACATAAGGATAGAAATTTGAAGGTTGATGCGTTTCCATTCACTGGAATAGTGATAGTACATTCTAAACAAGTAAAATAGTGCTTATGAAGTAAGTATATTAGAAGAACAAGAATGTCCTTATAAGAATGCAAGAACTCTTGTATGTATCTATATACAGTGTGTGTAATTACCTAAGTGTAATTACACACACTGTATATAGATACATACACACAGTGTGTGTGTATGTGTGTGTGTGTGTGTGTGTGTATATATATATATATATATATATATATATATATATATATATATATATAATATATATATATATATATATATATATATATATATATATATATATATATATATATATATATATATATATATATATATATATATATATATATATACATATAATACACATACACACATACACCTACACATACATACACATACACACACACAGGGGGGGGGGGGCGGCCGAGTGGACTGCACGCTGGACTTGTGATCCTGTGGTCCCGGGTTCGATCCCGTGCCCCGGCGAGAAAATTGGGCAGAGTTTCTTTCACCTTATGCCCCCGTTACCTAGCAGTAAATAGGTACCTGGGAGTTAGTCAGCTGTCATAGGCTGCTTCCTGGGGTGTGTGTGTGATGTGAAAAAAAGAAGAAAAAAAAATAGTAGTAACAAACAGTTGATTGACAGTTGTGGGCCGAAAGAGCAGAGTTCAACCCCCACAAGCACAATTAGGTGAATACATTCCTACACAAAAGGCATGTATCAAATGATGGCATCTTCCCCTTATTTTCTCTACAGAATACAAACATTAACATTTTTATTTTGAAATAAGTGAATGCTATTAATCCAGTAGTGATGTTCTAGTGAATCTAATGAGGAATAAACAAAAACTAGTGAATTTATCAGCAGTTTCTATAGCAACAGTCAGTGAAAACCCATCTGAAGACACAGCTTTGAGTTAGTCTCTTATATTGCTGCAAGAAAATACACGGCTTGGTCAAAAATCAAACCTTATATGACAGTGTTTTTTTCCGTGGTGAACATTATTATTGGAGTTTGCCAGCAATACAGTATTGGGAATTGTATCGCAGGTTGAGAATATGCAGAATTTAAGAGGATTTTGGCCAGTAAATAAAGAAACAACAGAAAAAATGAATGGAAATAAATCAAACAATGTAGTCCATGAAAATGAGATGCTGAAGCACAAAGTTTTCAAGATTGAGATGGAAAATGTTGCTCAGCAGAGACGTCTGCAGATACTGGAGAAGATGGTAATGGAGTTGACATGCAGTAGATCCCCATCACATGTACTTGACATTCGCCGCCACCCTTCTTTCAGTGAATCTCTTGGTCGGGACAAGTTTGTGGAATTGACTGAAGGAATACACAGAAAGGATGAATTTGAACAGGATTGCATGAATAATGGTAATCAGTTGTCAGGAGATGTGGCAAGCCTCATGGAAGAGTTTGACAGAAAAGGCAGGGAAAATGGACTTGTATATGGCATGACTCACAGTACTTGTAGTAGCAGTGTTACAGATTCAGGAGATTTAGAAGAAGCTAGAGGCTTACGTTGCCCCCCATCACCCTGCCTCACCATTTCAAGTGCATGTTCTGAAAATGTATCTAGATCTCCATTACCATCTTTCCTCACACCTTCATATCAACAGAGTCAGAATTCAAACCTTAATACGTATTCTGATAATGATCCTCGGATATCTTCACCACAGTTGTGTCTCACAACACCTGTCCTTCTCACCACTGAGGCTTTAAAAGAAGCTGAAAAACTTCAGGATTGCAATCAAGCTTTTGAACCGAAGAGTGATCAAATGCCATATGTTTGCAGTGAAGCTGTGGCCTCTCCTTTACCTGCTTCTGCCTCTGTTCAGGGCAACTTTCTTGGAAAGTCAGCCTTGACCCTTACGTTGGGCAGTAAAGTTAGCCCCTTCTCCAACCTCCTTGCGGGTTGGCATCAAGCCACACATAACCGAACTCGAAACCATTCCAATAACGACTGTTGGCCGATTAGAAGAGAAAAATTTGGGAATTTAGAGGATGAGGCAACTTCGAAAGAAGGGTTTAGCAGTCCGAGGAGCAGTGTGTCTGGCCGTATTCGCAACTGGAGCCATTCCCTTAGACTTCCTATGCTCTCCCCACTAACGGAGAGTCGCTGTAGTGACTTGGAAACACAAGTGAGTTCTGTTCTTACATGTGTATATAGCTTTTACAAATTTAAGCAAAGTAATAGATTGGTTAAAAAGGGATTAAGGGAGATGTTCAAATACTGTACAGTTTTATTGGTTAAAGAAAGAGGGCATGCTATGATGATCTCCTTGAAATTGCCTCGTAAGGTAAGTTTGGATTCTTCATGTTGACAGTACAGATCAATATTTGTATCATTGTTTACAAATATAAGGCAAGTCATTAGTACGGGAGAGCCTCTTCAAACCTTCATTCAAATTGCAAACTTATTCTCTGTATTCTTTAAACTCCCAATACTGTTTTACTTTGTATGTACTGCATTTTGCATACTTCCCTTTAGGCTAAGTACCTTTTCTAAAATGTCAGTGTGTACACTTCCTTGTGTAAATGTTCTCGCCTGATTGTATGGAATAAAGTTCAAGTGGCCGAATTAACGAATGTTTGGCATTTGTTTATGAGGATTGGCTGCTTTCCTCATACTGTATCTCGGTTTTGTTATTTCAGAACTGACTGTATTGCATATCACTGCACCTTTGCTGTCCTCATTTGCTTTAAAAGTTGGGTTTTATACTGAATAACTTAATCCACTATGGGTCTTCTGTCTTTGATGTATGGTATCCCAAATAATGGCTGAGGTTCTTGTGTTATTTTATCAATGAATATTGAATACAATGCTGATGTTTTGTTCGTGGGACTTGGACAGTAAGATAGGTTTGATGTCCGGCTTAATGAAAGCAGTGTCGTTTTAACAGTACTGTACAGTGAATTGCTTTCCTCTTATTTGGTAGTACCGTGTACTTCTGGCTTCTCACTTTCCATGTAGTGTACATTAGGGTGGAACTCGAGTAACTTCTTATCAGACTTCCAGGTAAGTCATTTACACGTGCTGAAGTTCAAGTACGTTTATCGAGACAATAAAATACATCTCGAAAGTATAGTGTGTTCTGTTACTAATACTGTAGGCCAATATTTAAGTTTCTTGCCCTGACACTTATGATTTCATGTTACTTTTTAATATGATCTGTACTGTATTATTGTTATAAATGTGTTGCCATAAATAACTTTTTATTTAGCTTTTTTTATTTTGCATTAGCACATGACAATTGTTTCACAAATATTTTTATTTTTACTTCCACAATTTTGTCTTGTTTCAGGCATGAGTTTAGATCCCATTATGTATTACTGTTTACCCCATGAAGTCCAATCGTACAAGAGATTTGTTTTAGGTTTCTGGTATAATCATTTGAGTGGGGCTAACCAGTTCAGTATTAATTTTTGTCCAAGGATGACTTGGTAGTTAGTGATTCATTGTCTAACATTTGTCAACTCCTCCTTTTGCAGGGTTCAGATGGGGATTTCTTTACTGAGTTGATGTTCAATCTAGCTGAGAACGAAGATGAGGAGGTATATTGTTGGTTGCATTGGTTCTAGGTGGTATTAAATATTTTGCATTTTTCCATTGTCTTCCATTAGAGCATGTTCATTATTTTGTCTTCAAAATTTTGTTAGCATTAGCAGCGAGGTACAGTACAGTACTGTACTGTATTGTAATGTTGGTGTGTTTTAGGAGTGTATCCAAGAGGTAAGATAATTATGAGGAGAAAGTGCTAACCTAGTATGGCTGTACTGTATACCACATGGAAGTGGCATAGGAGTTAGGATATAAGGATGGATTGGGTCTTAAATCAATTTGACCATATGGGGATTGAAAGCTAACTTTAAGAAGTGATACAAATCATTGTAGCAATCAAAGTGTATAGGCAGGAGGTATATAGCCAAGAGTTGGTTCTTGTGTATTTCTTTATTTTTTGAAAGATATAAAAGATAAAACTTTAATTGCTTGACCTGTAAGTAGATGTGCACTAATATTGATTGGTCTTTGTAATTTAAGTGTAGTATACAATCTTTAAATGAACAAATACACAAGGGCCGTGATGAGGGTTCGAACCTACGTCCGAGAGGATCCCAAATGCGTCTTAATCGACTGCTACGACATGGATTTGTTCATTTGATGCATCACACTATTGTAATTTCTGTGTACAATCTTTAAAGTTTAAATTTGTTTAATGCCACAACACCTTGGCAGATCTCAACAAAATGCAGGAAATATTAAGTGAACTAGTGAAGATGTAAGCAATGGTAGTAAAATTGAAACAAATCTTTGAGAACAGAATGGATATTATATTCTTAAGATGTATTGACAATAAGTTAATTGTCAATTAACACTTAATTTAGGAATATGAGAAATATTTGTATAATATAATGGCATAGCTAGCCGGTAAAGAAATGGGGAAAGCATTGCTATGTCTTTGAAGAAAATCGAGTAGTTAATTTACCTACCAAGAAACATTCTCAAGTACTATTATTGAAAATATTTTAACTACAATAAATTTATCCCTAACATGCAAGGCCTATGAATACATACAAATGTATTTCATAAATGGTCTTCACACAAAGGTTAATGCATTGATTGAAGCTTTCTCAGAAACACCGCCTAGCCTACTAAAGATTACATAAATAGTAAATTTGGATTCTAGGTTACAATAATTTTAGACATTTTAAAGGAGTAATTAGAATGCATGAAGGAATACATCCGAGTGTAACAAATTTGCATAGATCAGCCAAGTTGTAACGGATATGTGAGCCTATATGCTGCTCCAAGCATCAGCCTTTCAGTTTGCAAGACAAGTGACTTCCATCTTGGATTTAGGAAGTAAGGTAACTCCAGAAATCAACTATGGGTAAACTCCAGGTAAGCCTGAACATAATAGTTAAGACCTTCATATAATGTGGTTGAAAAATTAGGAATCATAATAGTAAACAAAAATGTATTAATTACAGTATCGTGATTAATGGAAACCCAACATATCATGGGGTGACCCAGGATGTGCTGGCTCAGTTTGCCTTGCTTCAAAGAATGTCTCATATATCATGTGGAGTGTCCGAAGGGCAGCGGGTGTCTATGGAGTTAGTGAAATGTTATTAAATGTTAGAGTTTTTCTGGGGTGGCTTCCCATGCTACCCACTTGGGAACCTGCACACCCTAGGAACCGGCACATCTTAGGAACCTGCACATTTTGGGTGCAGGTTCCTTAAAAAACCTGCAGTGTTTATACCAAAATCCAGCACCAGAATCTGACCATTAGAGGCAAGAGGAGTCTGGGAATACAAGATCACCATAATTCAACGAAATGGAAAACAAAAACAAAAAATGCCGGTAAGAGTATGCGCACCAAAACAAGCAACTGCATGGACAATATTGGTGACACCGATACGAACTGTTTATACTAATTACCTAGGTTCAAGTTAGCGACCCTGGCTTGCCACCAGATGGCAGCCCCAGTGACTCATAGGTCCTGACCAGCTAACTCCGCCATACATGTGGTGCCAAAGTCATGACCCCTGAATGTCATGGTAGGAGGGCAGGGCGAGTATGGAGGGAGCCACCGAAGGACTGGCCCAGAAAGAGGCATTTCCTTACATTCAACTCTGGATTTTTATACTGTATAGTAGATTAGTCATTGGAAAACATGTTGGTGTCAAAATTTACAAATTTTGGGCTTTCATTTCTGGGTGTAAATTTAACAAGTTACAAAGACTTTGAGTTTACCATCTTGAGTTTCATGTACTTGATTTAGTGGTTGTTTAGATGATGGTTGGCTGTTGACCAGAAGGTGTCCAATGATTAGGTATTGCAAGTCATGGTGATGGCTTCAATGAATAAATCCCCATAGCTATTAACATTACTCCTTCAGTAGCTCCTTGAGCTTAGCTATGGTTCAACCAAATCTTAGGGAGATTCACCAGGTCTCCAAGACTATCCTTACCTGCCTATCTACCCGATGAACAAGAGTGTGCAGATAAATAGCAGCTGGAATTCAATCCTAAAGTACAAAGTACTGAAAATGGGTAAGATAGATAGGAGACCTGCATTTAAACTTCAGTATACAGGAAAGGCACTCAAAAGAAACAATAAGAAAAGACTTGGGAGTAGACAATCTTGCCACTTAACACCAGAAACTCGTGTGAACGAAAAAATTGGCAGCTTATAAAAAGTTGGCAATCATAAGGATGTCATTTAAGAATCTGAACCTGTCATTTAAGAATTTGAAATTCTTGTATCCTGTATAGGTGGTTGGTGAGTGGAATGCATTAAAGGAAGAGGTTATTTAGGGCAATTCCATCCACAACTTTAAAATAAATTTTGTATGAAAATGTTGAGAGGTAATCAGCATGGCTAGGAGGCAGATTATAAAAGAGCTAGTATCTCACTCCCTCGTAAACAATGATAGGTAAACACCAGCAGCCAGGGCCAGAATCAAGCCTTATAATACAAGAAGAGCATGGATATAAACTAAAAAAAAAAAGGGGGGGGATAGAATTAATAAGGGCAACAAAACAAGTACCTGCTTGATAAAAGTTAGGTATCGAGTGAGGCAAATGATTGTTGCCATGGTGTAAATAAACTAATCCTGATGTGACAGACTACTGCCAGGTGGCAGTGCCAGCAGTCACTGGGGTCCCAGCTAACATGTTTCCTCACTCACTCGTATGGTCACAGTATTGGCGGGGCATAGAACCTCTTGACAGATCCGAATCCTTTGCTTCACACTCAAGCTAAGTTGTGTTGGTTTTCCCTGGAACATTTGTTTTGCTCTGGGCCATTGCTTTGGTGATGTCTCCTTTCTGTTTCATGATTTTCTTATAGCACCGTTCATTGCGTGTGCCTTAGCCTACCTTTGTTTTCACTGACTGTGGATCAGGGTTCCTGACTTTGTAGTTGGCTTACAATTTTCCCTTCTGCACCAGAGATACCTGCTGTGAGGGCTTTGAATTCTGCCGCTACAAGCTATCTTCTCATGTTTGGCACCATGGACCACAGACACTGTTGGAGGTGGGTTGCTGGAAACAACTTTACGTGCTGCCGCCTCTGATTTGATAAAGGCTTTGAAACCTACTTTCCCTGCCTTTGTTTCCTTTTATCTTTAGGATCTGCATCTTCATCTTCAAGACTTTAGTTAACCTCTCTTAAGCTTCTCTGGTTAACCTCCTGTTTATTCTTTCTTCTAGGGCTGTGGAAGAAAGGGCAACAGAATAAGAGGACTGGCTTCGATTTTCCTCCAGTGGCAAGAGAGGTCCTCGGATTTGTGGTTGCTGGAAGTGGATTCTTGGCTTTTTTAAACACACAATGGAATTTGGTTTCTTGTTTGAGAGTTTGGCTGGTAGATGTTCTCTTGAGTTCCTTTGACAAGTGGGAAACTTCTTTCCAGTAAAAGCTGCTATGTGTTTCAGGTCTTACTTGGGGTCTTGGTCCCAGAAATTAGTTGTGCCCATTTACGCCTTCTCTTTCCCACAATGTCGAGGCACGATGGCTGCACATTTAGATGCCTAAAAGGCTTTTGGCATTGTTTACAGTTGGACTTCAAGGCTTGTATGAGCTTGGCAGGTATTTCATTCCTGTGTAGTGCACAAACTCCTTTGATCAGTGCCAAGCTTAACCCTTATCAAATGCTAAATGTAATAAAATGCCCTTGTTATGGTGGGACCCTCGGAAGCTCCCTACCTCTGTTTGTTTAACAGGGCAATTTTTGAGGGAGGGGCAGACTGGCCTGGATTGCCCACCTGGTTTTTGAACTATGCAACTATTGTTTGCTTTAACTTCAGGTACCAGATATCTTTCCAGTAGTTACTAGTTTTGCTTGTGTTTTCTGGTGTTTTCCTCATGGTATTGGGTTAATCTCTGATCTCCGAGCTTCCCTGGCCACTGCCAGATTCTGGTCCTGGTTCTAGGTAGGCAAGGGGTCTTAAGAGGCCTGGTGTATTGTCCCTAGATTTAGCTGGACTAGCACTTGGCTTGGGGTGTTACAGAGGACTCTACCAGAAAAAGGCCTTTCATTACATTCAGTGCCTGATAATTTGTTTTATTATACACAAAGAAATCACATTAACACAATATTCATACATCAATGATAAAATAAATTTGGAGGAATGAGGTGACGTGAATCAGTGATTAAGGTAGTTTTTACCTTGCCTTACCCTTGCACCTTACTCCTGTACCTGAACGTGGTGTCAGTTATCCAACCTGAAGCTGGAGCGTTAATTAATTATTTTTATCTGCACCCGAGTGCATGGGGGTTCGTTGTAAAATTTGGACTGGCTTCAGTAGAAGCCTCCAGACTTCATGTGGATTCAGTGTAATCCCAGATTGTATAGTTTACCCCCTCCCCCCCTCCCAAACCATGACATACCCCGAGTAGTTAAATGGAATGCATTAGGCAGTGATGTGGTGGAGGCAGACACCATTCACAGTTTCAAATGCAGATTTGATAGTCCTAATAGGCTCCAGAATCTGTTCACCAGTTGATTGACAGTCGAGAGGCGGGACCAAAGAGGCAAGGCTCAACCCCTGCAAACACAACTAGGTGAGTACATGGTATAACATGCGTGGCTGGGGGTACCTTGATGGCTGGTTCGAGTTACCTCTTTGCTCAAATTTATTTTACTGTATGTTTTATGATGAATTTTTCTGGTTGTCTTTTTACCGAGTATAAATTTTTACTGGAATCGGTTCTGCTCTCCTGCGAACTCGCTTTAGTGAGTGATACCACAGTACTATTACCCTCGCTTATCATTACTGTATTTCATTGTTGCTGCCATTAAAATATTACCGATTTAACAAAATCGGTATGTTCCATACATGTGTACTATAGTTTATGTATTTAATTGTATATATTAAATTGAATGCAAGAGTACAATATATAATATTTAGAATTCATAATGACAGTTTTTCTGGTTTAAAGGCATCGGATGAAGAGGACTTGGTGGTGGATGAGGTCATCTCTCTTTCGATGGCTGGAGGCAGCCGACAGCGGTCGGAGTCATTCTGCTCCATCATTGGTCCCTGTATTTCTCCGGACCTTCTTCTGGATACGAAAAAGGTAAAGTAAGAAAGGTAAAAGCTGCGTCAAACTGGATCCCTTTCCAGCATCAAAGAAGTTACATTTGTCCTCTCTTTTTTGGAACATTGCTTTTTTGTGATTAAAATGAGTGACACCCTCTGACGACTTGGGAACACTGTTGAGTGTGGTTTGTGGGGTCCCTCTAATGGCCAAAGAATAGGAAACAGGCCTAAGACGATTTGGTCTAGAGATAAGCTCTCTCTTGTCTGACCTAATGTTTGACTCTTTAATTAACTCAAGATTTGTGTATTTAACTCTTATCGACAGAGATCATAATAGGATTTTTCTTATGGCAAATCAACCTTGCAGGAATATGAATTATTGGGATGCAGACAACTTAGGTCAACCATACCAGAAGACCATATTCTCCTAAATGTTCAGTGGATTTGTAATAAAGCTAGTTCTTGAAGAGGACAGACATACAGGGAGAGGCCAGGGAGCTCAGTCTTACACAGGTCTCAAGAGAAGAATTTGAAGGGATATGGTCACCTTGTATAAACTGCTCAATGGAATAGACTAGGTGGACAAAATAGGCTTCTTTCTATTGAGAGAAATTACGACAAGAGGATACTGGTAAATGAATTTGAGAAATGTAAGAAAGTACTCAAATGCTGTATGAGTTATCTTCAGATGATTGATTGATTCAACTATTGGAATTTACTAGAAAAAGGTTGTGGAAACCACCCGTATAAAATTTGACACATAACTTGTTTTAGGTTTCTGGTATAATCATTTGAGTGGGGCTAACTAGTTCAGTATTTATTTTTGTCCAAAGATGACTTGGTAGTTAGTGATTCATTGTCTAACATTTGTCAACTCCTCCTTTTGCAGGGTTCAGATGGGGATTTCTTTACTGAGTTGATGTTCAATCTAGCTGAGAACGAAGATGAGGAGGTATATTTTTGGTTGCATTGGTTCTAGGTGGTATTAAATATTTTGCATTTTTCCATTGTCTTGTATTAGAGCATGTTCATTATTTTGTCTTCAAAATTTTGTCAGCACCAGCAGCGAGGTACAGTACTGTACTGTATTGTAATGTTGGTGTGTTTTAGGAGTGTATCCAAGAGGTAAATTTGCTTAATGCCACAACACCTTGGCAGATCTCGACAAAATGCAGGAAATATTAAGTGAACTAGTGAAGATGTAAGCAATGGTAGTAAAATTGAAACAAATCTTTGAGAACAGAATGGATATTATATTCTTAAGATGTATTGACAATAAGTTAATTGTCAATTAACACTTAATTTAGGAATATGAGAAATATTTGTATAATATAATGGCATAGCTAGCCAGTAAAGAAATGGGGAAAGCATTGATATGTCTTTGAAGAAAATCGAGTAGTTAATTTACCTACCAAGAAACATTCTCAAGTACTGTAATTGAAAATATTTTAACTACAATGAATTTATCTTTAACATGCACGGCCTATGAATACAAAAAAAAGGATTTCATAAATGGTCTTCACACAAAGGCTAATGTATTGATTGAAGCTTTCTCAGAAACACCGCCTAGCCTACTAAAGATTACATAAATAGTGAAGTTTGGATTCTAGGTTACAATAATTTTAGACATTTTAAAGGAATAATTAGAATGCATGAAGGAATACATCCGAGTATAACAAATTTGCATAGATCCGCCAAGTTGTAACGGATATGTGAGCCTGTATGCTGCTCCAAGCAACAGCCTTTCAGTTTGCAAGACAAGTGACTTCCATGTTGGATTTAGGAAGTAAGGTAACTCCAGAAATCAACTATGGGTAAACTCCAGGTAAGCCTGAACATAGTAGTTAAGACCTTCATATAATGTGGTTGAAAAATTAGGAATCATAATAGTAAACAAAAATGTATTAATTACAGTATCGTGATTAATGGAAACCCAACATATCATGGGGTGACCCAGGATGTGCTGGCTCAGTTTGCCTTGCTTCAAAGAATGTCTCATATATCATGTGGAGTGTCCGAAGGGCAGCGGGTGTCTATGGAGTTAGTGAAATGTTATTAAATGTTAGAGTTTGTCTGGTGTGGCTTCCCATGCTATCCACTTGGGAACCTGCACACCCTAGGAACTGGCACATCTCAGGAACCTGCACATTTTGGGTGCAGGTTCCTAAGGGAACCTGCAGTGTTTATACCAAAATCCAGCACCAGAATCTGACCATTAGAGGCAAGAGGAGTCTGGGAATACAAGCTCACCATAATCCAACGAAATGGAAAACAAAAACAAAAAATGCCGGTAAGAGTATGCGCACCAAAACAAGCAACTGCATGGACAATATTGGTGACACCGATACGAACTGTTTATACTAATCACCTAGGTTCAAGTTAGCGACCCTGGCTTGCCCCAAGATGGCAGCCCCAGTAACTCAAAGGTCCTGACCAGCTAACTCCGCCATACATGTGGTGCCAAAGTCATGACCCCTGAATGTCATGGTAGGAGGGCAGGGCGAGTATGGGGAGCCGGATTTTTATACTGGGGAGTATGGGAGTATGGGAATATTTAGTATGGGGAGCCGGTCGGCCGAGCAGACAGCACACTGGACTTGTGATCCTGTGGTCCTGGGTTCGATCCCAGGTGCCGGCGAGAAACAATGGGCAATGTTTCTTTCACCCTATGCCCCTGTTACCTAGCAGTAAAATAGGCACCTGGGTGTTAGTCAGCTGTCACGGGGTGCTTCCTGGGGGTGGAGGCCTGGTCGAGGACCGGGCCGCGGGGACACTAAAACCTCGAAATCATCTCAAGATAACCTCAAGATAACCTCAAGATACTATATGGTAGATTAGTCATTGGAAAACATGTTGGTGTCAAAATTTACAAATTTTGGGCTTTCATTTCTGGGTACAAATTTAATAAGTTACAAAGACTTTGAGTTCACCATCTTGAGGTTTATGTACTTGATTTATTAGTTGTTTAGATGATGGTTGGCTGTTGACCAGAAGGTGTCCAATGATTTGGCAGCTTATAAGAAGTTGGCAATCATAAGGATGTCATTTAATCTAAACAAGGATGCTATAAACAGTATGTGAAGCAAGGATGTTATACACAGTGCCTGTGTGAGATCATTGCTAGTGTGTGCAGCACGGAACCCACACCTTGTGAAGAATAAAGAGGAACTTCACGTTCAGAGGTTTGCATCTAGGTTAAAGGGGTTTCTCGACCAAAATTGAGAGGCCTCATCTTTAAGGACATGCAGGGGTAACTCACCCTTAAAGGAGAAAAACAGATATGATAACCAATGAGGATATGATAACCATGTAAAAGATCTTGAAGGGAATAGACAAAATGAATAAAAGAAGCTTAAGTTATAAAGAGGCAGGACATGGGGACATCAGTGGAAGCTGGACATGCAGTTGAGTCAGAGAGATGTAAGGAAGTTCTTGTATCCTGTACAGGTGGTTGGTAAGTGGAATACATTAAAGGAAGAGGTTATTTAGGCCAATTCCATCCACATCTTAAAAATAAATTTTGTATGAAAATGTTGAGAGGTAATCCCATCATTGGTCCCTGTATTTCTCCGGACCTTCTTCTGGATACGAAAGAGGTAAAGTAAGAAAGGTAAAAGCAGTGTCAAACTGGATCCCTTTCCAGCATCAAAGAAGTTGCATTTGTCCTCTCTTTTTTGGAACATTGCTTTTTTGTGATTAAAATGAGTCACACCCTCTGATGACTTGGGAAGACTGTTGAGTGTGGTTTGTGGAGTCCCTCTAATGGCCAAACAATAGGAAACAGGCCTAAGACGATTTGGTCTAGAGATGGGCTCTCTCTTGTCTGACCTAATGTTTGACTCTTGTGTTGGGTAGTTGAGATTTGTGTATTTAACTCTTATCGACATGGATCATAATAGGGTTTTTCTTATGGCAAATCAACCTTGCAGGAATATGAATTATTGGGATGCAGACAACTTAGGTCAACCATACCAGAAGACCATATTCTCCTAAATGTTCAGTGGATTTGTAATAAAGCTAGTTCTTGAAGAGGACAGACATACAGGGAGAGGCCAGGGAGCTCAGTCTTACACAGGTCTCAAGAGTAGAATTTGAAGGGATATGGTCACCATGTATAAACTTCTCAATGGAATAGACTAGGTGGACAAAATGGGCTTCTTTCTATTGAGAGAAATTAGGACAAGAGGATACTGGTATATGAATTTGAGAAATGTAAGAAAGTACTCAAATGCTGTATGAGTTATCTTCAGATGATTGATTGATTCAACTATTGGAATTTACTAGAAAAAGGTTGTGGAAACCACCTGTATCAAATTTGACACATAACTTGTTTTAGGTTTCTGGTATAATCATTTGAGTGGGGCTAATCAGTTCAGTATTTATTTTTGTCCAAAGATGACTTTTAGTTAGTGATTCATTGTCTAACATTTGTCAACTCCTCCTTTTGCAGGGTTCAGATGGGGATTTCTTTACTGAGTTGATGTTCAATCTAGCTGAGAACGAAGATGAGGAGGTATATTGTTGGTTGCATTGGTTCTAGGTGGTATTAAATATTTTGCATTTTTCCATGGTCTTGAATTAGACCATGGAAAATATTTTATTATTCATTATTTTGTCTTCAAAATTTTGTCAGCACCAGCAGCGAGGTACTGTACAGTACTGTACTGTATTGTAATGTTGGTGTGTTCTAGGAGTGTATCCAAGAGGTAAGGTAATTATGAGGAGAAAGTGCTAACCCAGTATGGCTGTACTGTATACAACATGGAAGTGGCATAGGAGTTAGGATATAAGGATGAATTGGGTCTTAAATCGCTTGGACCATAGGGGGATTGAAAGCTAATTTTAAGGAGTGATACAAATCATTGTAGCAATCAAAGTGTATAGGCAGGAGGTATATAGCCAAGAGTGGGTTCTTGTGTATTTCTTTATTTTTTGAAAGATATAAAAGATAAAACTTTAATTGCTTGACCTGTAAGTAGATGTACACTAATATTGATTGGTCTTTGTAATTTAGGTGTAGTATACAATCTTTAAATGAACAAATCCACAAGGGCCGTGATGAGGGTTCGAACCTACGTCCGAGAGGATCCCAGATGCGTCTTAATCGACTGCTACGACATGGATTTGTTCATTTGATGCATCCCACTATTGTACTTTCTGTGTACAATCTTTAAAGTTTAAATTTGCTTAATGCCACAACACCTCGGCAGATCTCAACAAAATGCAGGAAATATTAAGTGAACTAGTGAAGATGTAAGCGATGGTAGTAAAATTGAAAAGAATCTTTGAGAACAGAATGGATATTATATTCTTAAGATGTATTGGAAATAAGTTAATTGTCAATTAACAATTAATTTAGGAATATGAGAAATATTTGTATAATATAACGGCATAGCTAGCCGGTAAAGATATGGGGAAAGCATTGATATGTCTTTGAAGAAAATCGAGTAGTTAATTTACCTACCAAGAAACATTCTCAAGTACTGTAATTGAAAATATTTTAACTACAATAAATTTATCCCTAACATGCAAGGCCTATGAATACAAAAAAAAATGTATTTCATTAATGGTCTTCACACAAAGGCTAATGCATTGATTGAAGCTTTCTCAGAAACACCGCCTAGCCTACTAAAGATTACATAAATAGTGAAGTTTGGATTCTAGGTTACAATAATTTTAGACATTTTAAAGGAGTAATTAGAATGCGTGAAGGAATACATCCGAGTATAACAAATTTGCATAGATCAGCCAAGTTGTAACGGATATGTGAGCCTGTATGCTGCTCCAAGCAACAGCCTTTCAGTGTGCAAGACAAGTGACTTCCATCTTGGATTTAGGAAGTAAGGTAACTCCAGAAATCAACTATGGGTAAACTCCAGGTAAGCCTGAACATAGTAGTTAAGACCTTCATATAATGTGGTTGAAAAATTAGGAATCATAATAGTAAACAAAAATGTATTAATTACAGTATCGTGATTAATGGAAACCCAACATATCATGGGGTGACCCAGGATGTGCTGGCTCAGTTTGCCTTGCTTCAAAGAATGTCTCATATATCATGTGGAGTGTCCGAAGGGCAGCGGGTGTCTATGGAGTTAGTGAAATGTTATTAAATGTTAGAGTTTGTCTGGTGTGGCTTCCCATGCTACCCACTTGGGAACCTGCACACCCTAGGAACCGGCACATCTTAGGAACCTGCACATTTTGGGTGCAGGTTCCTAAGGGAACCTGCGTCCTAAGAGAACCCGACGTCGGGAACTCTAGGAAGCGCCATGGAACCCTAGTTTGCTCCTTAAAGCGAAAGCTCGTCAGTCGAGACATATTTTCTGCGAGTGGCTCGCTCGTCGTTCGAGGTTCCACTAGTTTCAAGTCCACTGCATAACACAAGTCACTAAGCTGAGGTGTCGTTATCACTGGTAGTCTGGTGTGTAGATGTGGACTTAAAGGAAATATTAGAAGTGGGTAGATTTAATGAACTTCGTTAAAGTGTATTTGCTTCCGCGTGGTGACACTGGTAGTGGCCAAGCAGGCCAACTGGCAATTAGCACGAGCACTGCTTGCAGTTTTGTGTGATACCAAATAGTCCTTCAAAGGACTGAGTTTATTTAAATGATGTATTTGTTTTCTCCAGTGTTTTCCTTGTACTGTACCATGAATGACCAGACAGTTGTTCGAAAAGATCCTTCTTCGTCTGACGTAGAATTTTGGCTTCCATCGACTGTGCTATATCCTGTCCATGAGAACAGCAGCAGCTAACATTATTTAGCAACCAGTCAATATAGATGGGAAAAAATCATAATTGTTAATGGTATAGATTATGGTTGGTAGGGGTACCTAGAGCCACACATACGTTACTATATTTCTTGCAAGGGTTTTCTCTTATAAATATTCATATTTCAAATGTCTGCAGGCTTCTGAAGAGTTGGGAGTTCTTCAGGATACAAGAGGACCCACTCTGAAGACAGAAGATCTGATGTTGGCAGAAAGGGAAGAGCAAGAGCTGGTGTGCCCTGTTGAGGACTCAAAAGCAGGTCAGTGTGACATGACAGATAACTAAGATATATTAGTTACATTAGTGTGCTTTTATGGTGAATATTAAATAAATTTAACTTTTTTTTTAAACAAAAATAATATTTTTTAATAATAAAATGTTGAACTATTTCTTGAATAATATGAATTATTAAGAATGCTCTTAATGATTTTATTTAAAATTTGACAATTTAACTTCAAATTTCTCTACACAGGTCTTGAAGTTACTAAATATATAGAACTTGAGGGAATTAAATCTCAAGTAATCGAAGAGAAGGTGAGTTTGGTATCGTGTTGGCGTTTGGTGTTGTGGTGCAGTGGTAGTGGTTGTGGTAATGGTTGTGGAAGTGTTAGGAAGCTACTTGGGAACCCTGGTGCAGGGAACATCACCTAGATTGCTTCACCCTGCAAGGTGAGGGAGTAGAGTTACCAGGAAATGTGCTTTGATATGAAGTTTGGGCTCCTGTTTTTAATGCACTCCAAAAGTCTTGCCAAATACCACTGTATAGAGACAATGTGGCAGTGCTTTCTAACTGCTAATAGTGTTATTGCTCATTACCTTGGTCACACATGGGTTTATGCAAATAGATAATGAATGTGTACATCAACAGCTCTGGTTTTATAAGTACAAATATTTAATTATTGTTAAGATTATTTGCTTTGTCTCATGAGTATATGTATGCAGTAATGATAGTTCATTGTACTTTGGGAGAGTCTTTATTGTTTGATTATAATATTCTGCGATATTTTCATGTAAATTTGTGTAGGGGTGTCTAAACCTCCCTGCAAGCTGCGACATGGCAATTTGCAGCTTATTTACTTCATCTGACAAAAAGGGAATTTTCTGCCTCTCATGGTTGTTATATCATGAATTATTAAGACAAGTTCATTCAAGGGTACCCTGTTGTTGTTACAAATAATTAATCAATCACTAATAGTATCAAATATACAGAAATATCCTGCCATGTGGATCCTGAGGTTGGGTGAGACTGCAGGGTATTATGTTCCTCTATGGAAGTTAGGTGCGTACTTAACCCGTTCCAAGTTCACGCTATCAAGCCCACACTTGAGGTTATCTTGAGATGATTTTGGGGCTTAGCGTCCCCGCGGCCCGTTGAGTGGGCTTGATAGTCAAGCCCACTGGTAGTCGCACTTGCAACCAGACTTTGCAAGCTTCATTTAATGTCAATATGTTTTGATGCTTATGAGCATACCCCCACAACAGAAGGGTTGGCAGTTGCTGAGCTTAGCTACTGTGTAAATGTATTTGCAGAGTTTCAGTATATTTAATTGAGTTTACCATAAGCAATAATACTATGTAAATCTCTTAGATAACTCGTACAGGTATATTATATATTACTAACCAAATGTTGAATTTGCTGCATTCAGCTAGTAATATTTTTGATACTGTAGTTCAGCTTAGTTTTCTGCATAAATGTGGTTTTGTTGAACAAGTGGTGCTGAGAAGGCAAGTGCTTGAAATGTTAATACTAGTTTATTGGGCTTAAAATTGAGCGTATATTTATATTGGATTTTATTTTGGTTTGTTTTAAATCAAATTCTTGTATAGGGGATTCATACCCATTATTGCATTCTTAATTTATTATTAGAATAGGATTTTTTTATTATATAAAGCAAAGTGGTTACTTTTGAGTTACTGTTGAGTAACCGACCAGGAGTTTCTGTTGAGAATTAGCATGCTTTTGTTTAAGCAGTTCATAGTAACCAAAAAAATATCATATGCTTCTAAAATAGAATTTTGGTAAATAGAACATTGTATATTAACAATTAATATTTTATAATATAGTGACCATGTCTTAATTTTTGTGTATAGTGAATTGGGTCAAATTGAATACACACAGTTGTGATCAGGGAACTTGGCATTTTAATTTAATGATTTATGTATATTTTGTTTATCAAAGTTCAAATAACATATTTCTACAGGCTGTACCCGGCAACAAAATACTGCACTTGGACGGCAAAGATGTGAAACTTCCCGCTGGGTCTATTGTCTTGGCCATGGTGAACGAGTCTGGTTCCTTAGTCCCTCTGCCTCAGCTGCAGGTCACTCCACAGTCTCTCTCGTGCACGCTAAACACCACTGCACACGAAAAGGTTTTTGACGAAGAGATTGATATTGAGACTGTGATGGAAAGAACACCAGGTAGGGATTTTCATGCAAATCTTGATTTGTTTGTGAGTTAATATAAGCTTCTTGTACTGGTGTTTTAATGTTAATTTGAAAGTAAGTGTAACTGGTCTATTTTGCAATTTGAATTGTCTGAAGCAATTTCAAACTACTGATAAGGTTTTTATGTATTGCATAAGGATGCACAAAGTTCATATTCATATTTATTGTACTGCATAGGAGTAGTAAAGTGTTGCTGTTTCTCATAGTACTGTAGTGCTTCTGTGAAGGACAGAAGTCTGTCGGTTGACTATACTTAGATATATGGATATGAACCTGTTGCGAGTCTGTAAAGTGCATTGAATTATTATGGGTTCTTCTAAATGTGCAATAATAGAATTTAAATAATGGAAAGTGTTGATAAGTTAATTTAGATTAATGAATGTACACTTCAAGTTCCCTTCTTTATTACATTTTAAAACTCGCTTTCAAAATGTTTCTTGACTATTAAATCATCTGAGGCATTTATTTTTTTCAGTTCTGGAGGCTGGTGACCTAGATAGCCTTTTAGCTCAGTTTGAGGCCTCAGAAGCAGTTAACAAGCCAGGTGGCAAGTGTCTTGAGATAGTGAATGAAAGAAAGAACAGTGAACAGCCAAAATCTGTAGGATTTGTGTCATCTGTGGAAAGTAGCAAGCGACCTGCAGCCTCGGGAAGTGTCTCGAGTAATGCGCTGCAGGCCTCTCCTACTCATCAAAATATTAAAGATGCACTTCCTAAAGAGATCATAGAGAAGATCAAAGGTAAGATGTACATTTCTACACGTGTCTACAGGAAGGGATTAAGCTCTAGGTTCCCACATTTTGCGTATTATGCTTTGGTCATTTAGCTCTTCCCGATATTCTAATGGTCTCATATTTACTCATGAAGTTATGTATCGAATGAGCTTGCTTCCATAACTTCTGCTTCAAGCATGTTCAACTTGTTTTTGCTAAATTAAAACTAAAATAAAATAAAGATCAGATGTAATGGTCATGATCAGAACCAATTGATCAATGATGGCAGGAATATTCCAATTTTGTATTTCTAAGAATATTTCATATTTTTATGAATGTAATATTGTTGGCTGTATCAGGTATGCTACCATTGGGGAGTAGAGGGGGGATACCTGAGTGAATCACCAATGTGATACAAACATCTAGTTAATATTGTTATATTTTGCAGCATCAACTAAGCGCAAGAGTACAAAAATGTTGTCTGAACCATTGATTGTTCACAAAGGACGCGGTGTCAAGCAGGTGGACATAAACCAGCCACATAGCAAAGCTCATCGTGCAGCACCTCGTACTGATACTGCTACTTCCACCACCACCACTACTCAGCAGGTATGGGTTGTTCAGTACTGGTATCTCACTTTTATTCAGTAGGTCCGAGAGCTGTATTTCAAAGTTGATCTCATGTTCATTGATAGTATATATGCGTGTTAATTTGAATTAAAATTTTAAAACATAAGCTGAATATTGTATTTTGTTTGAGGACATAAAATGCAGCTTATATGTTCATGTCATATAATAATTGTTTAAATATATCTTCTTATTCTTGTACAGGTTTGTATTGGTGATGTAAACTCATTTCATGAAGTTCATAATTTCATTACTTTTGCTGGTCTGATATTATTTTATATTTTTTTGTCTGTTGTATTTGTCTTCCCTTACAATTTCTTTTAAATTTAGTGAGCAGATTGCCATCTATTGTATGCACATCCTCAGTCTATATACAGTGACTTAACAACTTCTTAATAGCAACTGAAACACTGCATTATTTAATTGGATTTGCCAATTTAACTTGCTCACTTTTGCTCCCATTCATAGAACACACACAGGGTAAATAAGAACTCGGAACACATGCACACTGAAATTACATGCGAGTGAGCTGGGATATGTGTTTTCAGTCTCGTAACGTCGAGGATTTGTTCTTCTCTGCTATTCCCTATTATTAGATCTTTCCTTCAGTTGCCTGTATACCGGTTTTATTACTCCACATTATTCAAAAGTTGAGCCATTCCTGTAAGCTAAGTATTATTTGTTCATTTATTTTTCTCTTCCAATCTCTTCCTCACCTATTTTCTTTCACACATTTTCACTTTTTTGTTCATAGTTTTCTCCTACTTTTATTTGCGCACTCAAAAATGCATAGTTATCATTAATACTGTATTGCAGTTTTCTAGATCTTGAAAGGGTAATTCAAAAAATAATCTGTATGAAAATGTTTCTATTCCAGAGCAAGACAGATGTATTTGTGCCCGCTCCATTAGATCATGACTACTGCTGCTCACCCGAAAAACAAAAGAAAAACATACCAAGTGAAAATGTTAGCGTTGTAGGTGATGGTCTATTCAACAAACTACCAGAGTACTATACAGCCATTCCTAGATGGGACACTAAGAAGCCAAGTATATCATCTGACGATGGTCAAGATGATGGTGGCAAGAAAGACAGTGGAGTTGAATCTGGTGATGTTAGTGATGCCAGCATTGAAACAGAGGAACGTAAGAAGGAGAGTAAAGATTCTATAAATGCATGTGAGGAATGGATGAACAGACAGGGGGAGGAAACCAAGACTAACTATAAAGATGACGTGTACAACAAGTTACCAGCTTATATGACCGATATTGGCAATATCAAACCCAAAGAAGAACCTGAGGGAGATGTGAATAGTGATAGGGAGAAAGAAAGAGAAACAATTGCAGCAGATAAACCACAGGTGAAAGTAATTAAGAGGAAGCTTAATTTATCAGAATACCGTCAAAGAATACAAAGCACACAGAGCAGTCGCTGTCCCTCGCCTGCTCATACTGATTTCACTCAAAATGCCCCCAGTAGCACTCCTTTGCAAGTATCTGAACTAGTAGGAAAAATGGAGAATGTAAAGACTGAAAAAATAGAGGAAGAACGGTTGGAAGGGTCTGAAAATAACACAAGTGGCCACGAGACGGTGGAAGATGAAATGGAAGAAGGGGAGTTAAAAGGAGACTCCGAACCAGAAACCACAGTTAATCAAGACAAGGAAAATGTTAGTACTGGATGTGTTGAGAACCTCCCTACTGGAATAACTCAGACTCTAAAGGAGATTGGAATTAAGACCCTAGATAAATCAATATCTGTTATTACCAAACCATCTTACAGCAACTCTACCTCCATAATCTATGATGGGCGATGGAAAAGCACTTCCCGCACATTTGCAAGAAGGTGGTCATCTTCTAGCAGGAGCAGAAGTCGTAGCAGAAGTCCTGCACAGACTAAAAAGCACGGCTCAAGAAAGCACAGATCCAGGGGCAAGAGGAGGAGAACGCGCAGATATTCTAATTCATCGCAGTCACCACACAGTTCGTCACGAAGGCGGTGGTCGAGATCACGCTCCCGCTCTCTCTCGAGACCGAGGAGGAGGTCGTCGCCGTCCACTTGTAGCTCATCGTGTTCCAGTTCTAGGTCGCGGTCACGCTCCAGCTCCGTCAAAACCAGAGACAGGTGTGTAAACTCTGATATTAAGGTTATACAGAATTTTACTCTCATGCCCTACCCAGGAAGAGATTAAGGTATGTGTGTTTTTAAATACAGTGAAGTTTTGCAGGCGAGGAGTCACAATAACGTGGCTGAAGTATGTTGACCAAACCATACACTAGAAAGTGAAGGGACGACGACGTTTCGGTCCGTCCTGGACCATTCTCAAGTCGATTGTGACTTGATTCTCACAATCGACTTGAGAATGGTCCAGGACGGACCGAAACGTCGTCGTCCCTTCACTTTCTAGTGTGTGGTCTGGTCAACACAGTGAAGTTTTATATTTTGAGGTTGTGACACGTTATGCTTAGTCAATTTTTTTTTTCCCCAAGGATATGCAGTATAATTTTCTCTAATACAAACATTTTTCTTATTGTCTGTACTGTATACAATAAGTCAATTATGTCAGTAAACTAGTCACATAACTATTACTCTTGAAGTCATTTGCATAGGAAGCAAGCTGATGTTTGTGATGGAGTGAAAACGAAAGTTCACAGATATAAAGCATTGGGTTAGTGTCAGATAAAATAATTTTTAGGGATCTAGTTTGGTGAAAATTTAAATGTGGATCGGTGCATAAAGGGAACCCATTAATAGAACAGGGGCCAAATTCACGAAGCCGTTACGCAAGTACTTACAAACGTGTACAGCTTTCCTCAATCTCTGACGGCTTTGGTTACATTTATTAAACAGTTTACAAGCATGAAAACGTCCCAATCAACTGTTGTTATTGTTATAAACAGCCTCCTGGTGCTTCGGAGCTCATTAACTGTTTAATAATTGTAAACAAAGCCGCCAAAGATTGAGAAAAGATGTACAGGTTCAGGTACAAGTGCTTGTGTAACTGCCTCGTGAATCTGGCCCCAGGTTGCAAAGGTTTGTTTTAGATGTGGCTTCCGGGAGGGTTTTTGTATTTTAACAGCCACCTTTTGAAGGGTTTTCAGGTGAAACAAGGTATAAGAAATGTAAGTAACAGTAGCTGATGGATAAGGCCATTAGTAATAAACACACTTTTTTTAATAATTTTGTTTTTGAGTATTTCTTTGGTTCCTGAACCAGTCCCTTAGATTGTTCCTGAGCCAGAGCAAATTTGATCCATCTGGACACGCATCCCTACACTTGGCTCTCATGACCTTGCCCCCAACCCTGACAATTATTTTTTCAAATGGTCTTTTGAGGGAAAAACTGATGTTAAGACAGTGGCAGGTGTTTATGAAGCCACCTTTGAGGGACCAGTTCGCTATTGCATCAGAAAGCGAGCAGTACCTTCAACGCCCCAGCAAGCACTAATCAGAAAGACAGAATGCCAATTAGTGCTCTGATAATCAGCTTCAAAACTAAACTACCTCTGCCACCACTGTTGACAAAACGTTTCTGAACAACAGGGTCGGTGAAGCTCAAAAAACCCACCTTAAGCCATACCAAGCAATCTTGATATATATGGTATATAAAGGGTGGGAATGCGAGCATCCAAGGCCCTGCTCAGAAAGAAATGCTTCACTATATACAACACCTTATGTTTTACCTGTAGTGATTGTGAATGAAATGTGTAAAATAGGTCCACATTTTCCACTGTTGATATTCTGAAGGCATAATTAAAAAACTGCTACAACCTTACTATCAACCTAACCTGCCCTAGGCCTAAATAAGTATTCTTAAAATCTTTGTGTAATCTCGGGACTAATTTGGTGGTTATTTTGAGATGATTTCAAGGCTTAGCGTCCCCGTGGCCCCGGTCCTCGACCAGGCCTCTTTTTTGTTACACACCCCCCAGGAAGCAGACTGTAGCAGCTGTCTAATTCCCAGGTACCTATTTACTGCTAGGTAACAGAGGCATCAGGGTGAAAAAACTGCTCATTTGTTTCCGCCTCCACCGGGGATTAAACCCGGAACCTCAGGACTACGAATCTGAAGCGCTGTCCACTCAGCCGTCAGATTCCTTGTGGTGAATACATCCACACAACAAACACTAACGTCACTGGCTGATAAGGTAATGATTCGAGACTAAACCCCAACCCACACTGGAAGCATTAGTGAAGTGCTTGAATGTGGGAACTGTGTACTGTTACAGAGCTAAAGCTTGAAAAATCACTGAAGTAAAGAAAACTTGCAAAGCAAGAGAATTCCAGAGCCAGCAAAATGCTCCAGGCAAAAGACACTAGATGAAAAATATTAAAGTTTTCTTTTGCAAAGAGAGTGGTTGATGGTTGGAACAAGTTAAGTGAGAAGGTGGTGGAGGCTAAAACCGTCAGAAGTTTCAAAGCATTATACCACAAAGAGTACCGGGAAGATGCACGTGAAGTTCAGGTGACACGGGAGGTGCTCGTAATCCTTATGACAGAAGACATTCCTCGAGAATGAAACGAAGATGGGTGAGGCAGTCTTGTTCAAGGCAGTCTTTGGGAGGTGGGGAGAGGGATGCAGTTCTGGAATCGTGAACCAGAACCAGCCGAGCCATCACTGTGGAGAGAAGTGCACTGTTTGGACATTGTCAATGAACCCAAAATTGCTCCTAGATGATAGGAATCTAAAATTACTCATCTATTTGACTGAATGCAAATTCAGAATTTTACATTAGAGTTCAAGACCCTACTGCATTCCTAGTTGGAGTAAAATTGGGGTATGGCTGTTAGCAACATCATGGTTTATCATGGAATGCATGTGTAGTTAATAGGGAGCCTGTGCTCTGATCACCCTCATGTTTGAATAGGTATTTCATGCACAACATGTTGACACTGTTTAGTTGGGGAATAAGGTAACAGATGGAAAATGCAGAAAAGTAGATTGGGGAAATCCCGTACATGTGCAAGTAACATCTAGGTTTGGAATTGACGGTAGTCATAATGCCACAGAATTGCTTTAAGGTCAAAACAGATTAATTGTTTTGAGATGAGTGAAGTAATTGATGATCTGTGTTATATCACCATTATTGCAATTGTTATTTTCTTTAGTTTTCTATTTCTAGTTTAGCAGTGTATCTAATACAGTATTTAATTAAATCACATGTATGCAGTATCAATATTTAATAGCCTTCAGTTTTATATTAATGTATAATTTCAGATGGGGTTATAGATTTTCAAGAAGATCCAGGTCCCATAGTCAGTCTCGGTCTCGTTCACGATCTCGTTCTCGTTCCTCACATTATAGCAGAGTCTCAAGATCTCGATCACCGTTATGGGGATCAAGGAGACGGTCACGTTCCCCACACCATCGACTTTCTTCAAGATCGAGGAGAATGGTAAGATATGATAGGGAATGGTGCACGTGGTTTTTAGAACATGGGCAGATTTTTCCACCCTAAGTTATGTCATCTCTACTACAGATAGGCTCATACATTCCTACTTTTTTCTTGTCTGTAAGTGTGCATGAAGGGCTTCAGTAGAATAAATGTCAGTTTGATAATGCCTCCCGAGAATACCATATCAACCAGGCTGGATTTCATGTACGGCTGTAAACAGCCGCACTGAACAGCCTGGTTGACCGGACCACCAACCAGGAGGCTTGGTCAGAGAATGGGCGAAGGGGACGTCGATCCTCAGAATCATCGGTAGGCATATATGACTTAAATTATGAAACAAGTATATCATTTGTTCGGATTTTTTAATTTGATGTTCTGAAATGATTAAATTTAACTGTGTAAAACACTTGTTAGTATATATTTTAAATTTATTTTGCCTTGTTTTGGTAAGGAGAGAGTAAATACTAGCTTGCATTGCTAAGAATAATAAATTTGTTATTATTACAGGAAATGACAGACAGAGACCGACAAGTAGAGGAGCGTAGAGTAATATATATCGGGCGAATATCTGAGGGCACTACCAAAGCAGACCTACGTCACCGCTTCCAAAAGTTTGGAGACATTGTGGATATCAGTGTACACTTTAGAGAACATGGGTAAATATGATGCACTTTTTTTTTTTTTGTTAAACCTTAACAAATTAAGACTCCAAAATTGATAAGCTTAAAAACATTATGTATTTAACATTTATTGAATGTACAGTTGTGGTATGTGTGTATTCACCGATACTGGAACATTTAGAGAAGCACCCAAAGGTTTTCTGATAAATGGTGACAATTTCAATGAGCATAATTGACAATTATGAAGCATTTCAACTATTAACTTTGTTCTTAGATTAATGATAAATTAATTTGCTTTATTGTTGAGTTCTCGATTATATGTTCCATCATTAAACGTTGGGAATTGAATATGTATGATATTTGAATAAACTGAGAGGTAGAGAATAAGTTACAATACCATTTCTGAAAATGGGTAGCACAGGAAATGAAAGTGACAGTGTTTTGGCTTTGTCCTGAGTACAGGACAGACTGGAATGTCACATACAATACTTCCTTTCATGGATGTGGGTTGAGCTAATAATGAATTAATAGAAGTTTAATTTTACTTTTACTTATTTAGCACTTTGTAACCATTTTAAATGCTCATTATTAACCCCTTTTTTATTAATTTACTCCACAGGGATAATTATGGGTTTGTAACTTTCAAAAGTAGAGACGAAGCTTACAATGCAGTTGAACATGGAAATGATGATTCGTCTCTTCCACGATACGATTTGTGTTTTGGAGGCCGGAGAGCATTCTGCAGAGTTCAGTACTCAGACTTGGGTAGGTGTATTGCTCAATAAAGTATTATCAGATGCAGTTGTTAACATGTTAAAAGACTAATGTTTACCTTATTGTAAATGGGGCAAGATACGTGTTCAAATGTTAAGAAAGGATGACATTTGCTGCAATTACCAGATGGAATAAAATGTCATATTGTATGAGCTCTTGCAAAAGAAAATGAAAATACGGCTCCAGGTTGGACCGAAGCATTATCACTCATTTCATCTTTGTGGGTTAGGGTGTTTTCAGCCACCTTGTGATATTCTCTGCAAAATTTGCAAGTGTTATTCAATGAAAAATTTTATTTTAGGCACAAAATGACCTCGGTAAATGTTTTATCTCGACTCAATCTCATAGATATTTAAGACCTTCATTATATATATAATTACAAGGTATGTTAGACCTCACAGGACTAAGACCAAATAAATAGTAGACGTTTCAGAACACTAATTTCCTTCTCGTCCAAACATACAGTACAGTATGTCCGAGAAAATGGGTGAGTGTGAAAATTAAAGTCAGTCAAGTGATACTTAAAATGTCTTAGAAATGATTTGTTGCCTTTTGGCATTAATTTCCAGCTTTTCTTAAATATGCCTTTGGTTTTATCATTGGGTACATCAAGTACCCAATGATATCCAGCCATAGGGATGGGGCGGTAGGAGCGACGGCCTCGCTTCTTGCTGGTCCGCGTTCAATCCCCTACTGTTCAAGTGGTTTGGGCACAGGGGGGGTGGGTAGAAATAGCCTAAGTTACTCTATCCCTTTGAGATGTATTTTTTCTTGTCTCAATAAACATGCCTGTACTTGAACTTAGTTTGGGCACTATTCCTTTCCCCTATCCTATCTTAAATTGTCATCCTGTATCCCTTGCAGGCACTATATAGTTGTACTGGCTCAGGGCTTTCTCCTAATAATTGCCTCCACTGCCCAGCTTCCTCATACCTTTAAATGTTTTTACCTTTTCATGCAAATGTCTTTCTAAAAGAACTTGTTGTGCATACAAAGAGGTGATAATTTTGATAACTGCTCTTTGAGAGCTAAGAAAGACATCATTAGGTGTTTGGCATGAAAAGGTGTTAATGACTTGTAATGGATTGTAGTTTCTGTAGTACAAGAATTATTGTACAAATGCAATCATGTTTTAAATGATGCGAACTTTTTCTTTTTTTATTTTAGATGCCCAGGCCAATGATTCCCATTATCTTGGAGGTCCAGCAGAAGGTCCTATTGCAAGAAGAAATCCAGGTTCGAGCATGGACTTCGATTCCCTCCTCCGAGCAGCTATGAGTAAAAAGACACGATGACCTTTGGGTTCTTTAGTCTTTATCAATGTAGAAAGAAGCATTAGCTGACCTGTCATGTATATAGACTTATATTTAAAAAATTTGAATTATAGTTATCAAAGTTGAAAGTGTTAGTAATTTTTTTTTTTTTTTTGGCTCATGGATTTTTCCTGACATAATACATTTGTTACTGTGACAATATTTTAAATGGGAATTGCTCCCTATGGTTTTAAATATTTGTACATATCTCAAGCAATTTTTTTTTTAATACATCCAGTCATGACATTAGCATCATTTGGGTTGAGATCTATGTATTTTATCACGAGTCACGAATAATGATCTTTTTTGCAGATCATTTGTGCTTGTGAGATAGATCTTGGGAACCTAAGGCAATTTTGCAGCTGTTAAACTACATTCAGATTTCACACTGTGATTTGTAATATCATGTGACGTTGCTAAAGAGATCCGGAGTGGAAGGTTCATTAATTCATACAAATAACAGTGGGTACCATACCAAGGGTCAAATTCTGCCGGTACTAGGTGCTGGGGCATCTTTAAAGGCTTTTTGTTCTATGTACACGTCTTCATTTGTACAGTTAGAAAGCAGCCCTGTGATAACTCTGAATCAAAGTAGTCGTCATTAAATGTTTCTCAAGTGAACCAGCGGATGATTTACTGATACAGGTATAAGAGCTCGGCAACAACTTTGTGAGAAGTTCTTTGGCAGCTTTGATGCGAAATTGTTATTGTCATTCAATATTTAGCCAATTGGGTAATTTACTTGTGGCTATATGATTTGTCCGATTGGTCAATACCACTATCAAATCACATTACATTGAATTTGACATGACAATGCCCTTCTCTTCCCCGATACTAGTGCAGGTTATCTCCTGAAGCAAGGATGACAACTTTTAGTGTTTGGCTCTTTTATGAGTACAGTACCTGTATTTTTTGTTGAATTTTACCCATGAATCATTTAAGATTTTGTTCAGCCATAAGTGACAAGTCTGCTGAAGCAGGATAAGTATACTCATTCTTTTAATTTTTTTCAAAATCAAAATGGAGTTTTTAGATAGTTTCATTAGACTGGGTAATTAAGGTGTTTTAGTAGGGCCCGTCTGCACTTACCAAGTGGTCCTAGGGTACTAGCTAGAAACCTGGCATAATGGTTAGATTTTACGATAACTGGTATCATTTCTGACAGACACTACGACTAAATGCACACGTCTTTGGGCAGATGCCTTATTACGCGTGCTCTGACCATGAGAATTGAGACAGTCATGAACTTGTTGGTTCAGCTTACTACTGACTTAGGATTTCTACCCCGCCCCCCCTCCCTCCTATTCCCCCCTGACACTATCATCGTAAATATTTTAAGACACTGGGCTACATTTGTTGTTTTGGTTTTTAAAGTTTACAGATGCTGCAATAATTCTAATACAATTTTAAAAATTGTGTTGATAGAAGGAAAAATTTGTATACAGTATTTGCAATTAGTGACATGAGCATAGCAGCTACCATGTTTTTTCAGGGAAATTTTAAGCCTTTTAGGGAACCTAATGTTAGCCCTATGTAGTGTTTTCTTTGATTTTTCTAGTTATTTTTGTATTAAATTTGCTGCAGAATATAACTGTTAGAAAAGTAGTGATGATAGACAAACTTGTAATGTTAATAATAACATACGTATATTATATATATATTATATATATAATATATATGTGGGATCTGCATCGTATTCACATTTATCTTGTGTGTGTCACAAGCACAAGCTTTTAGTTAGCATCATTTGTAGAATGATTTCCAGTAGACAACAGTGGATGGGGAAGGCTGTATTAAAAGTGGATGGGGTTATAGTTATCAGCCAGTGTTTATTTTTTACCCTTATGAGGGGGGTAATAGAGTATTAATATAAATGGGAGATACAGTATGTTTCTGGTGCTATTAAAACGTGTAAGTGAAATTTTGAGCAAATGGTTAAATTGTTTAGAAAAAAGAAACTTCTCGTGACTTGTAAGATGGCTGCTCGGTGCCATGTGTTTCACGCATAGTACTTCATATGTTAATAGCAACATAATGTGTCAACTGTATGTTGTAAAATCCATTCAAAGTGGGATGCAGGGAGTGGTGTGTGTGTGTGTGTGTGTGCTGGATATACTGTTTTCATGTTGTGGATGCTTTCCAACTTGATTTTCTCAGGTCGTGACCTTGGATGATGATGCCCGGTTGAAAAGGGCTAAATAAGAAGAAATATTCGAAGTTGACTATTGTTTGTTAATGTCAATTTGTTGATATGAGTAAGTCACTTTTATCACTTGCACAGTGATCAAATTATACTTAAAAGTTTTAAGTTGTTCAGTTTGTGTGTAATTTTTCAAGAGTAATAAAAGTAACAAATTCTGTGATGTTTTCAAAAGTATAAAACAGTGTCTGTGTGTTAATGTCATCATTTGGATAATATTATTTGGTGGGGGAGGAAGGGGTGTTTATAGTATGTATTGCAAAAAATATTTCTGCACATGGTTTTATACATTTTGAAAATTAAAGATTATTATATGATATCATCACAGATGTGTCAAAACCTTTAGCAAATTTTCATCATTATTTGCTTTGTAGGAATCATAATTGTTTTGCTGTTTGATTGTGAAGGTTTTGGCATAGTGGGTGGTGATGTGCCATAGTCTCTATATATAAAAACTATATCATGTAGATTATAGTTATACAAGAGAACAATGTGCGGCAAATTATATATTGTTCATGTTTACTTTCTTACCATAGATCACATTATGGGTTAAATTCTTATATCTACTGTACACTGTTGTTTAATATAAACGAGTAGAAAACATTTTCTCTAAATACTCATTTTTGGTTTGAAGGTTTTTAATAAATAGGTTGTACGTGGTTCAGGTTGGCGCCTCTTGCTTGTCGTAGATGTGAGACGTTGCTCTTTGATGGTAGCCGATAGTATTTTTGTATAAATTAAAAAAAAAGTCCAAAAATAAACCAATGACAAAACCATAATGATGACTAAAGACTGGCGTGTGGAAGAGTGGTTAATGTGGGGGATGGTGTTCAGGGAGACTTCACAATACATAATGTGAATCTGTTTTTTGTATTTGGGCTCCCTTGAAGTTGAACAGTAAGGAGGAGCTACCCATTCACACTTTCATTCTTACTTTTTTCATAACAAATGTGATACTGTTTGGATGGACTGTATAATTTTAAGTACATGATGTATAAACACTTCCACACATTCACTGTTAGTTTCTTCATAAATGATGTGATAAGATTGTTTGGAAGTATAATTTTAAGACTGGATGATAAGAATATAGTGGGGGGGGTGTCTTTCTGAAGCATTAACCAGGACTAGCAGAACATTGGGGGCAATGGACTAGGTGTCCGGAAGATCCAGATAAGTAGAATTTAAATTTGCAGTGTCTGATAAAATTTTAATAATTCAACACATTTTTATTTGGCATATTACAATTTTTTTTTTTTAGTGATTTTTACTGTAGTATCAAAATAAGTGCAAATGTGTGTTTTTAAGTGTTTACACTAATGTAATCTGTAACTGAAACGATGAAAAATAGCAAAATGTCAATTACAGTGGACGAATGGAAGTGCTCGGAACATCTAGACACGGTCAAGCCATCCGAGCGAGATAGTGCCTCGAGTACAGTGCATTTTAACCTCTCGGCTAGTAAAGCCTAATTTTATTTAAAATGAGTTTTTTAATTGTTTTAACAAGCATATGGACTGCATTAGATTGCATCATGGCCCATAGCCAAGATACAGTATATCAAAATTTATTGCACACTTTTTTTCCCTCCAATAGTGAATATAATTAAATATATTAGGTTCATTTTAATGGTCAAAATGTTTCTTCCCCCAACTAAGCCTTGTTGTGTGGTTCTGGCTAAGTTTGAGATTATATATATATATATATATATATATATATATATATATATATATATATATATATATATATATATATATATATAAATAATATGTAATTTATTTTATTCTTATTCACATTGTATAGTACATACATTGTGGAGTCTCGCTTTTCTGTGCTGCCGTATTTGGGACTTGACTCGTTCCATTAAATCATGGATTTTGTAATATTTTGCTATTTCTTACCAATTTATTTTTATGTAAATGGTAGCAAACATCTTTGATAATGTAAACACAAATAAATGAAAAGGATTTTTAATATAAAATCAAATCAAATGTACTGAATATTTTGTTCATGCCTTTTTGTGAATTTGTCGTAACCAAGTGTGGAACATGTCTCTGGTCTTTATACCTCGTATGCCTTTGACGGCACTCGTGTATTTTTAGATCTCGTATTGGCATCCCAAGTGATATTTAGGAAATTTGTAAATGTCTCCATGACACAGTGCTAAGTAGTCTAACTTGTTTGATTTCCCTTTTTTTTTTTTTTGATAATTACTGTTCTTTCTTTATACCGAATTCAACTTAGGGTACGCATTTTTTGTCCTCGACATATTAGTCGACAAATATCTCCTGGCAGTGAACTTCAAAATGTATACTTTATTATTTAAAGTATATACTTTATTATGGGAGAAGCAGTGCCAACACTTCACTGAAGGCCAACACTACGCATTACTGCTAAGCCCAATACAATTTTGCCTGCTCATCGTTGTAATGCCTCCTCTTCTAACCTAGTGTAACTACTCCCTTTGCTGGCAAATATCTTGCTTGCAAATAATTTAATATCCAATATGAAATACAGTATTATACAAATGTTTGAAGTAAAAAGATTTTACTACCACTATTTACTATTTTACTAAATACAAGCACTACTAGCTAGATTGTGCTTGCCTGTCAGTAACTACTGGAAAGTGAGATCTAAGAGAAGAGCATAAATCTCTATCTCCTCGTATTTGTATCTGGTGTGTGAATTACATCTTGTGAATATTTTAGTTTACCTTGAAAAGCTTCATAGAAAACACCGACCTCACCTAAGCTGCTTAGTATGTTTAGATAAACATCTTATTGCTTCGTAATTACAATTATTACTTAACCTATACCTATAATAGGTTAAGTAATAATTGTAATTACGAAGCAATAAGATGCATGCTAAAAAGGTTAGGTAAGATCGGTGTTTTCTATGGGGTTTTCAAGGTAAACTAAAATATTCACAATAAATTAGTATGTTACATATGCACGAATTTAATAAGTCAATATTGACTATACGAAAGTGCGAGAACGGGTTGCAAACTAATCACAGCTTTGTATCATCCTTTGCAGATGAAACAAAAATCAGCATGAAAATTACCTCTGTTGAAGACATTGAAAAACTTTAAGCCGATATTAATAAAGTTTTCGACTGGGCAACAGACAATAACATAATGTTTAACTGATAAATTCCATGAACTCAGGTAGGGTAAAAATGAGGACTTTAAACATAATACAGGGTACAAAACACAATCAAATCTGTCCATGGTAGGAAAACAGCATGTAAAGGATTTGTGAATAAAGATGTCTGACGACCTTACGTTTAGGAAGCATAGCCAAGCAAATATTGCGTCATCTTGAAAAATGATAGGATGGATTACGAGAAGTTTCAAATTCAGGGAACCCGTCATAATGGTTGTATTCTTCAAATCACTTGTGCTGTCCCGGCTTGAGTACTGCTCAGTGCTCACTTTCCCCCTTCAGAGTAGGAGAGATTGCTGAAATAGAGGGATTACAGAGAACATATAAGGCATACATAGACGCGGCCTGGGGGGGGGGAGGGAGGAACCTCAAACACAACCAAACCAGGTATGAATACACTCTGGCTTCCTGTCCCCCCGACACAATGAATTATTTTCTTTCTATCATGTGTGACCCCTTTGTCTTGTATTGTGTTGTATGCGTGTAACAGGTGCTTAAATGTGTGTGTATTCATACTGTGTGCGTGTCAATAAATATGTGCTCGCAAATTTGAGTTTGTGTGTGTGTGTACGTTTCGGTACACATGATCTTTACTTATGTAAGTAATGAAATCCCGCGCCCAACGACAACGGCACAATCACCCCCAGACACCAACGTCTCGAACTTCAAGCACGACGGACCTTTTCAGAAGCACGAGTTTCCGAAGCAATCATCATATCAGCCTCCTCTGTGCCTGCGCCGGTAAGTGTTCATACGGGTGAAAGACCTTCATCCCCTCTCGTCGAAGGTAAGGGGTGAACCACCTCTTGTTGCCGTGGATGTTGAGCTCCTTCCCTTCCAACCCCCACCACCCCCCTCTTCCCCCTCCTCTTCCCCCCTCCTCTTCCCCGTCCTCTTCCCCCTCCTCTTCCCCCTCCTCTCCCCCCCCCACCTCCAGATCAAAGACATCATCAAATGCCGCCTCCTGCTGGGGCGGTTTATCATAAAGATTACGTGACCTGCGAGAAAAATACTATATACTTAATATTATTTATCTACTTTCTTCCCGGAGGATTTTTTTTTCTTCCGCGTTTTGGTCATAATCAAGGGATAGATTTGCCTGTAACAATAAACAGATAAACTATATCGATGCCTGATGATACACAGATAATCTATCGATGGTTTCATTATAGTATACCTGACCAATAGAAAACGTGTTGAATTCATAAGTAATATTGATCAGATATGCTGTTTATTAATTAGTTCGCCATTTAAGTAAAAAAAACTTAAGACAGTAAGCTTGAAACATCATAGACAGCTTGCAGGTTTAAAATAATATATTCAAGTCTTCATTTTATAGAGCTTTATCGAGTACAGTTTATTTCGTTCTCGACTCTCAATCGGGAATCCCAGTTTTCTTTTTTCACCTAATGTCTCTGTTCCCCTAGCAGTAAATAGGTCCCCGGGAGTTAAACTATGGTGGTGTTCCAGCCGGGAAGGGTCAGTAGTTTGACCTCCATGTACGTTAAACAAACTATACATATATAAACAGGCTGCCTGTCCCCAACGAAACGAATTATTATTATTATTTGATGTCCATATGGTACATACTCAAATTACGACCGTTTATACCGAAAATATGCAAATTAGTGAAAACACCGGTTGGTCATATTTTGCCCAAATACCCCCTGAAATTTTTAAAATACGATGCCTATCGGAAATATGACTCTTGAGCGTGATTTTTGAGCGGAATTCAGGGTGATTACACATATTTGCAGTTTTAAACAATGGCAGAGTTTAAATTATTTAACCACGAAGGAGAAAAACAACTGCACTAATAAGACTTGGATGTTATTTTTCGGTGAGGTTTCGCTAATTAGTCGTTGCTAGAGCTTCACACCTGTTGCTGGGGACCAGTTGCAGTAGCCAGGTGGCTTCTGACTCCCTCGACCCTCTGGCAACTGTGCCAAGAGTCCAGCGATCCCTGGCAACTGTGCCAAGAGTCCAGCGATCCCTGGAAACTGTGTCAAGAGTCCAGCGATCCCTGGCAACTGTGCAAAGAGTCCAGCGATCCCCTGGAAACTGTGCCACGAGTCCAGCGATCCCTGGAAACTGTGCCACGAGTCCAGCGATCCCTGGAAACTGTACCACGAGTCCAGCGATCCCTGGAAACTGTGTCAAGAGTCCAGCGATCCCTGGCAACTGTGCAAAGAGTCCAGCGATCCCCTGGAAACTGTGCCAAGAGTCCAGCGATCCCTGGCAACTGTGCCAAGAGTCCAGCGATCCCTGGAAACTGTGCCACGAGTCCAGCGATCCCTGGAAACTGTGTCAAGAGTCCAGCGATCCCTGGCAACTGTGCAAAGAGTCCAGCGATCCCCTGGAAACTGTGCCACGAGTCCAGCGATTCCTGGAAACTGTGTCAAGAATCCAGCGATCCCTGGAAACTGTGTCAAGAGTCCAACGATCCCTGGAACGTATCACAACTTGCCTGTCGTTGCCCGGATGCGGTCTCGTATATTCATCCCGTTTTCTTCACCTGCCACTCCGTAAAAAATGTAACTGATTTGTCTAATCAGAAACGCACGAACCTGAGCAACCCATCTAACCTATCGAAGCCAGTCATAGGAATCGTCAATATTACAGTGCTTTAATGCTAACTAATACATCGAATTTTTAATGGATTGGTCGATTACGTAAAAAAATGCGACGTATTTAGATGAGAGAACGGGTTGGCGTGTAGAGTTCAACAACATATTAATTGATTCACAGGAAATAATCCCAAAGAACAATTACAACAAAAACTTGTCATTCCCTTGCAATTGGTGTAATGGCTTTGGATTAATACAAATCACAGCGCTTTACGCTGCGATTTTGAAAGAATTTGTTGCAGAAATATGATTGTCATCTATAATATCCTGTTGAAGGAAATATACAACTGATTCTTCCCCTGTCCCCGGTCGGCCGAGCGGACAGCACACTAGACTTGTGATCCTGTGGTCCCGGGTTCGATCCCGGGCGCCGGCGAGAAACAATGGGCAGTTTCTTTCACCCTATGCCCCTGTTACCTAGCAGTAAAATAGATACCTGGGTGTTAGTCAACTGTCACGGGCTGCTTCCTGGGGGTGGAGGCCTGGTCGAGGACCGGGCCGCGAGGACACTAAAGCCCCGAAATCATCTCAAGATAACCTCAAGCTCTCAAGGGAGATCCCACTCAAGGGGAATGGATTGGAAACGATAGCATAACTTGTGCTGTTATCTACTCTTTATCCATGGTGTGGTTAAGTTAAGGTTTGGTTAGGTTAAGTTTGGACAGGTTTCATTACGTTTGGTTATGTTAATACGTTGTATTATTGACTGATAAGGTGAAATATGGAAGTCGAAATTTGTTTCAGTGTGCCCACAAACCATTTACAGAAAACGAAATTCTTTAAAGAAAACGTTTTCAGCATATACTTTTTTTTTTTAAACCAATGATTTCTTTATATTAAAGTTATAACTTGAGAATCGTCTCTGTTTCCGACAAAGGTTCATTTGCCAGTTTACATGTACACTATTACTGGAACCGTAATATGCTTTCAGACCATCACAAATATCTAGATAACTATCCAGGTGATATGAGGGAGTCTCCTCGGCTATACAGATAAACAGACATTACCATTTATGGATATAGATATAAACACAACATATATGTATACTAAAATGTAAACAATAAAAAGCAAAACATCGCAATATTCGTCTCCTGAGGCGTCTGGGAAAGGTTATGTAAACATAACATACTTATTTGACCAGAGATAATATCCTTAACTAGTCATCTTGGTCCTCACAGGATTAACATGCACCCAACAGACTCTATTGTACTCGTGGTAGAACGATACTATTAATTCCGCGATCATTACACCACCCACCAACATTACCACAGTAACACAAGCATTTTGTCTAACAAATATATGTCACCTTACCTAATGCGAGCGTCATTTTTCTTGTGAAATCTGCCGTTGAAACTGAAGACCTTTAAATGCCTCCAGTTAC